CTGAGCTTGAGCTTCATTATCAATCCTTCCAATGAGCAGTCAGGGCTGATTTCCTTTAAGAAGCTCAGGCAGACATCTCCCTAATTCACTGAACTCTGAGGATAAGGAAGAGGTACAGTACAATGAGACTTGTGAGACTGAGGTCAGCCCCACTAGGTAGATCAGACCAAGAAATCAACACAGGAAGGCTAAAACTACTTTGAGATTGGCTACAATAATAGAATCTTGTGTAAGTGGTGAATGCAAACCATTTTATATGAGGTGGCAGATAGTAACATTTTGCTGGGCATACTAAGTGACTCAGTATACAGGCAAGTTTGGATTCCAGTTGCCTGGAGATAGGAGTATGTAGCCCAAAGCTCCTGGCCCTCAGATCACCCTTTAGGATAACTTTCTCCAACTTGATATTTTCCAGATGCCAGTGATGACTAGGGAATGATGGAAAGTGTTGTCTATACACATCCATACTGTACACAAAGTCTGTTCTATGACAGTACTTACAATTTTTATTATTTATTCAATGTTCATCCCACTGAATCCTTCCAGTCTCACAGCAGCTTAAAAAAGCAGACAATCAAAAAAAATCCAGGGCAAGAAAAGCCGCCACCCCCAGAACACAATACACAGCATAACACAGCCTCCACCGCTATAGATGGGGAAGCAGTGCCTTCTTAAAGGAAAGATATTTTTATTAATTTCTACATGGCAAAGGCTCCTTAGAGTTGCTCGACATGAACAAAACACTGGAATACCTTCCACTAAAATAAGTTCTGCAGCTGATCAAACACAGCTAAGAGCAAACAACAAAACTACTGCTTTATTGGGCCATCTACACCAGATACCGACCAAGTCCTTAGAACAGTGTTTCTCAACCTTGGCAACTTTAAGATGTGTGGACTTCAACTCCCAGAATTCCCTAGCCAGCAAGGCTAGCTGGAGAATTCTGGAAGTTGAAGTCCCCACGTCTTAAAGTTGCCAAGGTTGAGAAACAGTTTTAGAAGCTGTAAACTGGGAGTGACAATAGCATTTCCCCCGTTGTTACAGATACACTACTCCTTACACAGAAGCTCCATTCAGCTACCACTGTTGCTTTCGCCGATCTTTACTTCCACCGCCCACTCATTTGCTGTTCTATAGGAAAAAAAAGAAGAGTCGAAAAGAGGCTCTTCTTTTTACACTCTTCCCCCTCATCCGGGTTCGCACCACTTCCGGCTGACACTCTTGCTTTCTCTTCTCCGCTCCCCGCCCTATACTCTTGCGATTCAGCAGCTCCTCTAGCCTGACCCATTCGCATCGTCTCTATGGCATCGGCGTCTCCGATTGGCCGTTCTGGGGCGGTACCTTCAGCCGATTGGTTGGGCGGCCCTGCGTGGCGGGGCGCAGAGGGGAACTGTCAGGCTACAGAGGGAGGGGTTTTTCGTTGCCGGCCCTAGGCCCTGGCCTTGGAGAAGGAGACCGCCCGACACCGATAACCCTCCGTCCTCATGGGGGGTGCCTGAGTGCGTTTTTTCCTTCCCCTTTCTACGGGCTGGGTGAGTGCAGACGGGAGAGGGGTGCATTGGTTTAATTGCGAGAGTTGCGCTAAGGAATGGAGCGCTTGGATGATCGGGGACGAAGGGAAAGGGAGGCTGAGGATTCACTCTGGCGGGGTGCTGGTGGGCGAGTTTGCCCAAGTCCTTAAACTGTGCAGCCATTGCAGGATTGCACCAGGGCGGGGCACTTGTTTGGGAATCCTGGCAGTTAAGGTATAGGGTGGTGCGCGCGCGCGGCGGAGGTGAGGCTCTTGCAGGACCAGTTCACGGGCCATAATCCAGGTTTGCTCGGCGGTGCTCGCCTTTTCCCGTAGGGAAGGAGTTTGCGATTCAGAATGCTGCCAGTAAGCTGACTTCGGTGGCCCTTCGCCTTTCTTATTGGAAGTGGCGACTGCATGCCTTGCGTTTTACAGGTGCGCTGATTCAGCAAGTCTAGACTTGCTAACTTGTCAATGAAAGTACCTTGTACACAGTAGAGAGGATTGAAGGAGGTATCTGAAAATCACGAGCTCTGGATTTCACTAGTCTGTGTCTCTGTATTTTTCCATGAAATGTAATCCTTTAGACGCCTTTGGTAACTCCTTTAGTTTCTGCGCCATGCCTGAATATAACTGTCTCCCTCTATTTAATTTCCCTTCTCTCTCTTCTCTCTCAAGCCTTGTAGGGAAGGGACTTACATGCTAATAGACTGAAGTACAGTGCACCTTAATGGTACTGTATAAAGAAATAGTAACCCAGAGTTATACTCCAGCTCAGAACCCCCCACTTTTTAGTACCTGTGGGGACATTTGGAATATATACATATGGTCCATCTACTTTGTGGGGAGCTGCATGGTTCATCTGTTTTGTGGGGCTGCCATGTGATGCATCTGCTCTGAAATGGTTGGGAATGTTTCTCTAACACAGAGAAACATTCCCAACAGAGGGGCGAACAGGAAAGTGAGCACATATCAAAAAACACATTCAGCAAGATACAGATGGATAAGTTTACAGAAACAGCCAGTAGCAGGTACAAATACGTTATGGTGGGCACAGATAAAGGGACAGAGATAGGAGACAGGCAGAAATCATAGAAAGTGGTCAAAAAAAGGGACCAAAAAGAAAAGGCCACACCCATATAGGGAAAACCAAGGGACAAAGGGAGTGGGACAGGTAACTAACTATACTAGCCAGAAACTGAGAGAAGTCCACCCAGAACAAGAATTTTGGGGTTAACAGAATTGTTAGTGGAGGGTTAGGCTTCCCCCTTTCCAGCCAGTTTTGGAAGTTTCCTGTCCCCATGAAAGATTGGTAGAAATCCTCGTGTCTTGAACTTTTCTAAGTTAAATGACAAGAAACCTCTTTACGTCATTCCTTAAATTAAAAAAAAAAACTTAGCAGACTAACATATATCTGATTCAAACCCCAAATCCTATCTGCTTACCCCATTGCAGATCATTGCTTTTCAAAAAGAAATAGCAAATTTTCCGAAAGTTGGCAAAATGCAATTTTAAGATCACATGAATATTGGGAAAGAACTGAATTCACTGCAGTGTCTTCTTTTGATCTTACTTCCTTTTGTTTTCCTTAGTTTGCCCTGGAGCCCAGCAGAGATGACAGAATACAAACTGGTAGTAGTGGGTGCTGGTGGTGTTGGAAAGAGTGCATTAACCATACAGTTAATCCAGAATCATTTTGTGGATGAATATGATCCCACTATAGAGGTATATAATCACTGCAGCATTGGCACTGACCTTTGAATTGCCCAATGTCCTCATTCTCTTTGCCTCGCCTACTCTGTTCAGTGCTTTTTGACTCTGCCACCTATTTCACTGTCTTTCCTAGGATTCTCAAAACACAAAAGATACATTTACTGGTTGCGAATTTCTGGCTCCTGCTGAATCCCTTTTTAATGAGTTACATATCTTTTTATACAAGACTGCACAGCTCAAGGTTTCTGGGCTGCATATAGTTCCCCCACCCCTTTTTTTGGTAACCATTGCCCCCCCAATACAATTGCTCACGTTTCCCCTTTTTTTTAGCTGGGAAAGACACAAACTGTGAAGTTAGGATTAACATGATGAAGAGGCTGAATAGGCTTAACATAGTTTAACCCCCCCCCCACAAAAAACCGAAAAGCCTAGAGAAAAGCAGAAAATCTTGATCATGCCATGTAAGACAGCATCTACCTCCATTTGCATCATCACTCCACCTACCTCATCTCTCCACTCCAGTGGTTAGGTGTAACTTCTGGCTACCAAAAGGATGCCCATCCCTTCATAAAGACTGCTGTAATCTTTCTAGCTTCCTCAGGACTGGCTCCTTTTTTTCTGTTAGTAGAGAGACCTTTATCTACAGTAATTTTCTGACAAAGTATCACCTTGTTCCTGTCTGTCATTTTTTCCTTCTCCCATGTTCCTACCGTGGTTACATTTTTTTTGGCGGGGGGGGTGCTTCTGAATCCAGGACTCCTACCGGAAGCAGGTGGTTATCGATGGAGAGACATGCCTTTTAGACATCCTGGACACAGCTGGGCAAGAAGAATACAGTGCCATGCGTGATCAGTATATGAGGACGGGAGAAGGCTTCCTATGTGTCTTTGCTATCAACAATACAAAGTCTTTTGAAGATGTTCACCACTATAGGTAAGAGGACAATTAAAGTTCTGTGGTCCACCAGCCAGCATCTATTCTGATTTTTGTCAGCTTCTTTCCAGTAGCGATGTTGGCAAGAGTACCAAAAACCTCTGTAATACTGAAAATATGATGGAAGTTCAACTACTTTTATTAAAGACTGGAAACCTCTTATAGACTTTTTGTTGAAAATGGAAAAAAATGGTGATTTATAGATTTGCTGATTAAAAAGGGATGAATATGGGATAGTGTATTATGATGTAAGTTTAAAGAGGGACGAGAGATACAGGTAGTCCTTGCTTAACGACCACAATTGGGAACAGAATTTAGATTGCTAAGCGATGTGGTCGTTAAGCGAATCATGTGACTGGACCCAATTTTACTTTTGCTGAGGTTGTTAAGCAAATCACCATGGTTGTTAAGTGAATCATGTCGTTAAGCGAATCATGCAGTTCCCTATTGATTTTGCTTGCCAGAAGCCGGCTGGGAAGGTCACAAATGGTGATCACATGACCCCTGGGACAATGGAACTGTCCTAAATGCGAGCTGGTTACCAAGTGCCCCGATCGCAATCAAATGATCGCAGGGGTGCTGCGATGATTGTAACTTTGGGCACCAGTTTAAGTCACCTTTTTTAGTGCTGTCATAACTTTGAAGAGTCGCTAAATGAACAGTCGTTAAGCAACGACTACCTGTAGTACATGTTTGTAACTGCTGTAAAGATCAGAAGTTGCTTTATATATTTTTTATTTTGTCTGTTTGTACTATTTTCACCTTTTTTCTTAATCTTACTTTATATTGTTTCATGTTTATCTTTTATTTCTGTGAAAATTTTAATAAAAATCATATGAAAATATGATGGAAGTTCATTTTGTGTGTGCATGCAAAAATTCATTTAAAGTGTCTTCTTTTCCAAAAAACCAGAATTTGTCTAGAAAAGTAAATGAGCAGCAAGCCAACTCTAAATTCAAGTAGTACAATTAAAAAAGATAGACAGACAGACAGATGCAGATATGGTTACTTCATTTTTTTTATTCCAATTTTGAAATTTTCAGCCTTTTCTTTACACCCAGACTAATTGCACTTATAGTTGCATATATATGTATTTGCCTTTCAAATACTTAGGGTATTTTTGTATCAAACAAATAAACAAAAGCTTTATTGGTAAAGCTGTTCTGTTATTCTGGCCTGGATATTTTTTGCTTGAGATAACTTATCCCAATTGTTTGTTTGTTTTGCTCACTAGAGAAAAGAGATTGTGGGATGGGATTTAAAACAGCAAAGGGGCCAGAAGAGAAAGGATTCAGGACCCCCATCCCATGCTATCATTTCTCCATTCAGACTCACAGCTCTGAATAGTGAAGCACAAAACTGGGGGAAAGGGACCTATGTTTCTAATACATACTGTATGTAATCTGGATTTCAGTCAGTCTGCTTTAAATGTAAGAGAACACACAGACCAAAGTGAAATACTGGTATATATTTCATTTGAATCTGGGGAAACCCAGGATTGAATTTAGGAACTGCTGGTTTAGTTAGAAGCACCTTATTCACATTTTCCTCCTATGTAATTCCAGGGAACAGATCAATCGTGTGAAGGACTCTGATGATGTTCCCATGGTCCTTGTTGGCAATAAGTGTGACCTGCCTTCTCGGACAGTGGATACTAAACAAGCTCAGGAGCTTGCAAGAAGCTATGGAATCCCCTTTGTAGAGACTTCTGCCAAAACCAGACAGGTGTGGTATTGTGCATGTAGGATAAGCTTAGCATGCTAGCTTTGTAGATTTGACTTCTAACTTTATTTAGAAACACATTTAATAATATCCAAGTACAACTGCTGTATTTCAGTTTGATTTCACAGCCTCATTATTTAAATGCTATTCAGCACTAGGCCAAATGTCAGCTGCTTTGCTTTACAGTAGTTGTGCTAATATTGAATCAAGCAGTGGGATTCACACCATAAGCCAGTATATTGTGCTCATACCTAACAGGGTAGAAATAAAATTCATATAAAATTACCCTTCTAATTTAGGAGCTATTGTGTGATTTATGGTAATCCTCTCATTTCATGTGCATCTTGTTGACAGATGTTTATCAACATGGTATTGTTCTGCTACTACACATTTCCTGCTTGAGAGAGGTTTTTGAATGTAGATACTAAATAAATGGTTTGTGTCTTAGCTTATTCACCACTAATGGTAAAAAAAAAAAAAAGACCAAACAAGGTTACTGTACATAAAAACAGTGTTTCCCCCCCCCCAAATATTTCTGCCTATTGATAATAGCCTTAAGAAAAGTTAGGAAGAACACAGATGTTTGGGATCTTTGTATTGATCCCTTTTATTGTCTAACTCTGGGTTTTGAAATCCTACTTCATAAAAATCAAAGTGGCTGATATATCTAATTTTTTTTCAAAGGAGAACTAATAAAGCCTTCTGTTGTATCTTTCTCCACTTTTTGTACTCTCTCATTCATCTAAAGGGAGTGGAAGATGCCTTCTATACCCTGGTGCGAGAAATTCGAAAGCACAAAGAAAAGATCAGCAATGGACGCAAGAAGAAATCTTCTAAAAGAAAGTGTATTATCCTCTAAAAGAGACATTATTGCACTGCTGGAAGTGTGAAAAAAACCTTTGAGTTTGGGTATTTTCCCAGCCTGCAAGATAAATTCTGATGGCCTTGTCCCCTCATCCTTTTCAGCTGGAAAGCAAAGGTGGTGGTGTTCTTCAAATGTCAGTTATTTTGCTACTTTTAAAACGTGGACATTACAACCAATATTAATAACCACATTTGATAGTCTTGTTGCTTCTCTGCAATTTAAAAAAAAAAAATCCTATACATTACAACCAATATTAATAACCACATTTGATAGTCTTGTTGCTTCTCTGCAATTTAAAAAAAAAAAATCCTATATATAGGATGATAAGGATTACTCCATAAAATCATCTGGTGTAACCTGATCCCAGAAACTAAATTGAAGTAACAGCAGGAAGGCAGTGTTTCATTCAGAGTATTAGTGGTCTTTCTCATTTTTTGTAGCATTTTATTTACTTTGGTGCTTTGCAAGATTGAAGAAAAAGTCAAATAGATGTGGTGTCACCTTTTTTGCTACTGGAGAACAAATAAGACTGAAGGTGACAATAAGAAATACCAACTGCCAAAATGTAGAAAGCCAAACCCACTCTAGCTGTTTCAGCCCTCTGTATTAAAATAGATGGTGCTCAGCTTTTCTGGGTGGTTAAGTTCAATATTTACTTTTTTGACTCTTCCTAATTTTCATTTGATTTGTTTTGTGTAATTTCTGAGCAAAATTTCCTGTGCTCCCTAAACTGAACCAGAAATGATGATATATCAACAGCGTGAAAGAGAAGTAGGACTATTTGGGTAATATATAGAAACTTTCTTTCCAAATGCAGTGACATATGATTGCTGTTTGAAAAATAACTCTTCTTTGAAGATGGTTGAATCCTGGCACTGTGAAACATCCTAAATATAATCTATCGCTGTTGTTTCCCTTACTTAATGGGTATTCATGTCTTAGGGAATATGGTAATGTTTACACACCTTAGAAAACAGAAATATGATCAAAAGATCTCTTATCCGCTTTCTCCCTTTTAATCATCTGAACATTTTGTCTAATCCCTGGGAGTAGGAAGTATAGGTACTTGAGATTGGCAGTGAGAAAACAGAAGAACTATGAATTATGATCCTGTTAAAGATATCTGATATTGTCCTTTTGTATATTTAACTTTTTCTTCTCCCTCCCCCAATTCAAAATCCTTTGTTACCTATGTTCCTAAGGAACTGTACAATAAATACATGCCACCACTTGGAATAAACCTGTGAATAAGCTACCTGATATGAGGTCCAATATCTTTTTTCTTAAGAGAATGTCAAATTCAGAAGAGTATAATCCTTCTCAAGTTTACTGTTAGTTATCTTGGCTATAGTGTTTCTTAGAACAAAATTTTTTTGGAGGGCAGGAGTGTAACATGGAGGCTTTTAAGGAACTGATTGTTGATTTTATATCAAATTTCACTGTTATATTTTGAATTTTTAACTTTTTTTATTTTTAAACTTATGATGTTTACTCTGCATCAATAAGTCTGATCTTTAAAAAAAAAAGAGTACTTCAACATTCTTCCTTTTGTAAAAGACCTTTCAAATAGTTACAAGTTGTGGAAGTATGTCTTCTTCTGCTCTTGAATATTTTTTGCTCTGCTCCAATAGTTCTGAATCCTAACATTTTCAAGACTCATAGTAGCTTTCTATGATACAGCGCCACATTGTAAGCTCATGTTGTATGGCCCCATCCACTCACTTGAATCGCTTATGTATTACATTACTGTACTTGCTGCCCAGTCTTTGATTTGGGCTTGGTAATTTGTTCCTTTTGATTTAAGGTAAGTATAATTGAAGATGGCTCCCAAGAGAAAATCTCTCTCTCTCCCCCCCCCCCACACACAGCTTTTAAATTACCCCTGTTTTAGGGGTAATGGAGTGTTATTTTGGGGGGGGGGGTTTAGTGGTGCTACCTTTTCAAGTATATTTTCTTGAAGATGAGGTGACCTGTTCCTTGCTTAATTTGCTATAGAAATGAGTGTTATTGCTTTCAGTGGAACTCCAGTCAGCCTCCTTCTTTACTTACCGATTTTTTCCAAATCCCAATTCTTGAGGAAACTGAAGGGAAATCCAGGATCATGCTAGAGGAAAGCTAACAAGAATAGCAACTATAAAGTCAGCAAATACAGAAACATTTCATGACCTTTCATTTAGTGAAAGAAAATGATAACTAGGAAGTTTGTTCTTAGGTGAGTAATGTAAAGTCTGGTGGTGATCACTGAAATTTGAGGCACTTGGATTCTTGCATTCCAGCTCCGGAGCCTATTAAAATGATTGGGAGGGGTGGAGTGAAGAGATGACTGGAGGTTGTGTTCCATTGTGATTCTATAAAAAGAATAAACTATCCTATTTTACCCAGTTTTGTGTTATCTGCAGTTTTGATAAGCATTCCCTCTACTTCCTCATCCAAGTTTCAATATTTCACTGACCATATTTCAATGCCTTTCTCCAGTTTGATGAACAACCGTTGATAAACATTCTCTCAGTACAGTTTTCAAAGGTGGGTGGGTTGTGTGCTTGACCACTCAAAGATCCATAGTTATGGATAAGTGATTTGTCTGCTTCTTGAGGTTTCTATGATACTTACCTGGGAACCCTACCTGTAGGAGGTGGGGCAAGTACCAGTCAGGAAAGAAGAGGTTACATGTTTAATGCACATAGATCAATGTGACTGAATGGCTGCTGTGCAAAGGATTGATAAGACTCCTCAAAAAAGTGATGTGGAAGAAACCAAGCTCTTGGAAGATGCTGACATTGCAAAAGATCAATTCATACAGTCTGTCAAGTCATGTGACAAAAATTGAAAAGAAGTTGGTAAGTCATTCTGTGGACAAAAATGATACAGAAAAAGCCTTTCAGATTTGTGCCAAGCTTTAATTTAACCCATGTAAAAACTAAAGCACCCATCACCTATATCCAAGAATAGATTCAGAAAGAAAGATGGCAAACCAAAGGTTATTCAAATGAAACCACTTTGGAGAAATCTGTATCTGTTTGAAGAGCCATTTCACCCATACAAAACTGAAAATAAGAGACTACTTAGCACAGAAATTACTGTCTCTAGACGTAATGTCTATCAGAAATGCAGCCTTAAAAGACAGCAACTGAACACAACTGGTAAGAGTTCAAAGGCTTATACATTAATAAGATGAGAAGCAATGACATAACAGGAAAGAAGACGTGTATGAAGTAGGCTATGTATACCTTTATGAAACTTCTCAGACTTCTCTGAGGCTTTAGAGACAAAAGGAATTGAAGAACCAGTAGCAAAATATCTGGGGTACATCAAGCCATCTGGATTCAACAAATGCAGTTTTCTACAATAACTTCTTCCTATCTACTCTCTGACAAATCTAGTCTACTTCCATGCATAACTTAGGAGAAAGGCTTTCATGCCACCTGAAACACTTCTTTAAACAAGGATGAGAAAATTGCCATCAACCCAGCAGTTTCATGTCAGTATGAAGCCTCTAAAGGTTCTGCAATAGAGGAGCTACTGTTACCTTCAACAGCCAGAGAGAGGAGAAGCATGGCTCTCTCAGCACTGCAGATACTGATTTACTTTAAGATGGGATGGTGAGAAGGCATAGAAAAGATCCTCTATTCCAGGATTCCCCAAAGTAGTCAATATCAACCTTCAAGGATCGATGGGACTATCCAAGGGGTTGATAAATGGCTGGAGGTCAAAAAGAGGTCAGTAAATGGCTGGGGGTCAATAGGTGATGGATAAATAATGGAAGGTTGATTGGGGTCAATTAATCTTTTAGGGTCTCTATAGAGCACTAAGCCAGTCCCTAGTCCTGAAGGTGAGGTGGCTAGTCACAAGACAGTATTACCCAGGGTTGGATGGTCAGCCACCAGCAACAGCAGCCTTGAATTGTCTATTATTATTGTTGTTGTTATTTATAGTACTATTAAAGTTGTATTTATTAAATTATTTTTATATAATAAACGTTTGGGGGGTCGATGAACAATCTGAAACTTCATGAAGGGGGTCGATAAGCTGAAGAGTTTGGAAATCCCTCGTCTATTCAGTGGAAAAAATATATCTCCTTAGAGAGGATAGAACATGACTCAGAGGACAGATTATGTTGCAAAACTAAGACTGGGCATTGTTCCAAGAATCAAACAAGCCTACTGAGGGCAAAGATGTAATGAAACATGATAAAGTTGCAGCTCCTGATTTGCCACCTGTCAGAATATTATCCATGCTGGATTGACATAAGTGTGTGATATTGTAAGCCTCAATACCAGAATCAATGGTTAAGTGAAGAAAAGTTGAAGCATACATCTTTCTTGTTTATATACAGTATTTAGAAGACAACAATAGTATTGTAGAACTCTACCTGAACTGTTTGTCATCAAAAAACTGATTCAAAAGTCTGGCAATCCTTGTAAATGGCCCGAAGCTCAAGTGGAAGTGGAGCCATTGTTCTTCTGTATCCCAATGGCCAAGCACTTTGAGGTCTCCAGAGTGAACTCCCTCATCTCCAAAGGGATGCATTAGAGGTAACAACATAGGATATGGCATTTGCAAATGGTAGCCTTTACTTAGATTGACACAATTCATTCACCAGAGAGGTGAGTCTTGGACAGGAAATAGAAGGACAAGGCATGTGGAGTGAGGGTTCATAATGTGGTAGAACATCTACATGAATTGTATTTGTAGGTGGTCACACTTTGAAATCTGGCAAATTGTACCACAGTATTAATCAAAGCCATAAAACTTAGCAAACATGTGATAATTATGCAGTAATGAAGGAGGTCCTGAACCAGAGTCAGTATCCCTATCACGTGATTTCAAGGGAGAAAGATGGAAGTCAACCTTGAGGAAGGCTCCAATGAATTGGAAAAAACAGGAATGATTAAGTGATGACTTCTGGAGATTAACACAGATGACTAACAGATAAAAGGCACAAAGTCTGCAGCAACATCTGTGTTTAGGCCACAAGAAACTAATCATCCAGGTACCAGTACCTAGATGCAACCTAGAAAAATTATACTTAAGAGAGTGATATGGCAGATGAGGTGTTTAAAAGTAACTGCAAGAACCCAAGTGGCATGAACAATTCCAGAAAATCAGCCAACCCAGTGTGTCATAATCAGTCCTGAGATTATTTGACTTCTGGAGAGTAAACAGACATGCTCAATTAATTGGGAGAGGCCTCCCAGATTTCTTTGAAATCAAGACATGAAGAATAGGTTTCTTT